TTTTAAACGAGAGTCACAAAAACATAAAAATTAAAACTCACTTTTGCCAGGAAACTTTCTCCTTAGAAGAAAAAGTAAAGCATCTTTCTTTAGAGACTGGTACCTCGGGAGATCAGTATTACTTTAAAATATTTTTATTTCCATTCAACTTTATCTTCCCAAATTATAGTGAACTAAAATGTACTTTGTACTAACTCGTGATAGTTATGTGATATCAGTGAAGTGAATTGTTAGACTTGTTTTGACTGGAAAGATAAAAACAGCTGATAAAAAAATAACTTCAGTGTGTTTTTCAGAAGACAGGAAAGAGTTTTTTTTTAATTGGTATCACCCCATGCAGGACAGTAAATCCACTAAAACACAAGGAGTTACAGGATGTGAAGAATTAATTAGGAACATAAACATTAATGATGAGCGGAAAGAGTATCGTAGCCCTTACTACTCCGTCCACGTGACTTGGGGCTGACGTTATGTCTTCATTATCTTGACCATTGCGTTGCCACACACCTTGCAATTTAAGTTTATTTAGTGTCATGAAAAGCCTAATGACTTTGTAGTTTTTTCAGTGTTACGAACCTAGTCTTAATACACTTTATGAACATTTTTATACTTTTATATTTCGTAGCACATCTCAATTTATTTTCCTTGAGATTTTTAGTACTTTGCAGAACCGGTTAATATTTACACTCCCTTTCCATATAACACGGCGACTTTTCCACGACCCAAGGCAGGTGGATGAGAAAGAGAAACGCAGGCCCCTGAACACTGTATCCAGGGTGCTTGGACGGGTTATGTATTGAGTTATGGTCCAATTTTTTGGTCTGAAAACCGGACGCTAGTTGGGGTCTCCTATCCATTCCGGCAATCTTGCTTTATTTACTTCTAGCTATCTCGGACCCTTATCTCCCAGCATTCCGAGCCTTTGCTACTTCCGGTTACTACGTGGCTTTACTTCCGGCATCGCTACCTCGACCTAACTCACTCGGATGATCGGCGTTAAATGGACCTGCTTACAACAGCCCTGAACTTCTGGCTACACTAGGTTCCTTTCTTCCGTCTTTCCTGTCAACCTAACTCACCTGGTTTAGGAAATTACCGTATGCATACCGTCCAGACTCAAGGAACCTACTCCGTACACTTCGGTTACTACGGAAGGTTCACCATTGGACTTCATCAGCAACTACGCCACGCCAGCACCGGACATTGGATTTGATCAGCAAGCACGCAACGCCAGCACCAGACATTTAAATAGAACTTCCTGTTTGGCTATATCGTCCAGACTTCAAGTAACCTACTCCGTACATTTCGGTAAAAGTACTACAGAAGGTTCACTATTGCCAGCAACACCGGACTTTTAAATGAGACTTAACCAGCAACTTTTCAACACTTTCACCGGACATGTGAACCTAACTTTCGAGCTGTGGACTTTACATGCCAATTTAACCTCTGGTCTGTATTCTAGATAAATTTTATATTAAATTTTAAGTTTGTTGTTCTGTTGTCCATTTTGTCCCACCTGTCACATGTCACGTCTTTAATTTAAAATGGTAGTGGGTCTCTTGTGACTATCTTTATTTGAGCACACAGGCCATTTTATGTCGCGCCCTCTCCAGTGGATCCACTACAAGAGAAAAGAGTAATCAGGACAGTAGATTGCGAGTGACATTGCATTTAACCTTTTGCAGGTTAAAGTTGGCTGGAAAGCATGGAGCCGGAAAGGAGTTCCGCAAGCGAGAAGTGCGAGAAAAGAAACAATTAACATAGAACTTACGGTTACATCTAGCCAGTTCAACTGTCAATTGATAAGATCTCGATACCAGTCAAGTACTGCGCTTAAATTCATGAATTCTAGGTACCACAGCGAAGAGCTCATCCGAACAATTACCATGAAAGTATTCATAGAAAAGGCACAGGGAAGTAACTTTACGGCTGTGAGTAAGTAACTGAAGCCGAGATGCCAGGTCAGGACCAATAATATTCTTCTTTTGATCAAGGAGCTCTAAATAAATAACAGTAAATATGACAGTAGCATTTATACAGTCAGATACATGTATTTACATATTAAAAATAAACGTTCTTTGTTGTGCCAATGAAGAGACGAATAGTTTGATTATTCGAAATGATTTGTTGCAAATAAGTCTGCAAAGTTTGGAAGTGTTTTGTTGCGAGTGAGGAAATCAAGTGGTGTGGTACGCCAATAGGTGTATGTGAAGGACATGCACTAATGAAACATTTGTGGCTGCTGACTGTCATGGTAACTTGGGTCTAAGCTGTTGATCGAGGCTGGTCTGGTTCACTGTCTCTAGCCGACTGTCTTTCACTGTGTCGTTTCAGGTCTGGTTGTTGACAGTTGCTGACGAGCCGTTTTTATCGCTATTTGACAGCTGGTGCCCGGCTCACGAATCCTAGTTTTGCACGAGAATGTATTCAGTAAACCGATCCCTGACTTATTTCCAGGTCATTTGGAGTTCAACCGCGCAGACATAGTAGAGAGCACATCACGTGACTTGTCATATCCAATTATTTTGTAGCTATGCATAATACACACCCCTAATTTTGCTTCTTTTTTTTTCTTTTTTTTTTTTAAAAAAAAATGCGCATTATACATGGGGAATTACGGTATATATGGTTTTGTGAAATTAAGAAGTAAGCTTGCCAGGAAAAGAGATCTCCCTGGAGAGGACGACAAACGTCTTGTCATTACGCCATTCTAGAGACAGAAGGAGAGAGAATGACTGTCAGAGTTAACTCTCCTCCTTAATTTCTAAATTGTTCACTAGGGCACGCTCTCCTTACACTATAAATACTGGGCGATTTGTCGCCTCGTTCTCTTTTGACTCTCCATTTCAGCAGACATATTTAAAAATGTGATCTCTCACAGAGATCTGCGTTTTTGCCCACTTGTGGAAAAACTCCATGAAACAAACATACACGTACGTACGAAATTTACCAAAATACAAACTCTTTACGTTCACACACAAACACAAATGTTAATGTCTATGTCCATTGTAAACTTTGTTGTTTAATACATATACTTGTTGTGTGTGTATATATATATATATATATATATATATATATCGGTCTTGTTTGTTTCTTTACATCTCCGGTTGGACCCAACTTGAGTCCGCCATGTTCTTGTAGTTGGACCTTTTAATTCAATCAGGAGTTGCACTCGTGTTCCTAATTTAACAACACATAAACCCACACGGTCCGCTACAACCCCTTTCCTTTTATAGATTTGATTGTCATGCCACCTCGCGGCGTTAGATGAAGTTCATTGACAAACTAGGGCAACCCCCACACATATTTTTGTATTAGGTACTGTCTAAGCTTGACTTAGTCTGGTACAAGACCACTGTAGGGGAGCACCGGTAATAATCAAATTTGCAATACTAACAAACTGATGTGACAAGCTTATTAACTGCCGAGGGGGTGATCAAAATATTTGACTAAACCTTTGCTTACTCTAGTAAAAGGTAACAATAAAAGGGTACCCAAATGAGGATTGAATTCACAACACTATCGTTTCCTGATAAGTGTCCAAATATTAGGTTGAATCATAAATAATTTCTGTTTTTGTTTATCTTTATTCTGCAAAATAAAAATCCAATTACATTTTATTCAATTATATTATCACCATTATTTAGAATCACTTGCTGTCACTTATCAGACAGCTTCTCGACGACTTTTGAGTAAAATTCTGCATCTTTCAATATAACAAAGTTTTCGACGATTTCTTGAATCTGGTGTGTGTGTGTGGGGGGGGGTCTTGCTGTAGAGTCGGAATAACTTTCTTGCTCGACAGATGGTTTATGATCTGTATAGACCACAAAATTGTGTCCTTCTAAAAGACGAAGGAAATTGACGAATTGCCAAGTATGTTGCTAGTAATTCCCTAGAAAATGCGCTGTACTTTTTTGAGCTGAATATAGCTTGACTGAAAAAAGCAAAATAGGTTTTTAGCATCTCCCTGTTCCTGGTGAAGAACAGCCCTTATTGAGTCGTCCGATGCGTCTGTTGTCAGTGTGATCATTGAGTCATCATCGGTTAAATACGATAACTTCGTAAAGTTGGCAAGGGCGTCTTTGGCTCTGTGAAAAGCAGTCAGTGTGTTGTCTTTCAAGCTAATCTTCGAGTTCTTCTGGCGCTGCTCTTGCAGTATAAATTTGTGAGGGGAATCAGAATCTGGGAACAACCAATATTGAAACTCCGGTAGTAATTAATTAGGCCTAAGAATCGGTGCAATTGCCGGAGTGAAGTTGGTTGTGAGAAATTTGAAATAGATGCTATTTTCTCAGGTAAGGGAATTATTCTTTTTTCATCAATGACGTGCTCCAAAAATTTAAGCGTGGGTGCAGCAAAAATACATTTCTTTGCGTTAATCTTTAGGCCAAAATGCTGTAAACACTGGAACACTTTATCAACGTGATGTCGATGTTCAGTCTTGTTTCTACTGGTGATCAGGACGTCATCAATATAGGCAAAGGTGAAAGGTAAACCTCTGAGCACTTCATCTATAAGCCGTTGGAAAGACTTTGCAGCGTTCCTTAAACCAAATGGATTTTCACGAATTCGTATAAACCAAAAGGAGTAGTTATCGCTGTTTTATGGAAGCTCTCCTTGGCCACTGGTATCTGGTGGAATGCTTTCACTAGATAAAGTTTGGTGAAGACTGTGGCGCCTTGCAGACCCACTGCGAAATCGTGCAAGTGCAGAATTGGGTATTTATCTGGTACTGTACTAGCATTCAGCCTCCGGAAGTCGCCACAAGGAACCATATGAAGAGGAGATGAATAAGGACTCGAAGAAGGTCTAATTATACCGAGGTCCAGCATGTGCTGAAACTCGGCTTTCGCCAATTTATATTTATCAGGCCTCAATCGCCGTGGAGATGAATGCGTGAGTGGGCCCGTAGTATAAATATGGTGCTCAGCATTGTGACGAACGGTTTCTGTATACCGGAATGGTGTTGTAATTTGTGAATATTTTTGTAACAGATCCTACATTCCGTTGGCTTCAGGTAGAGCTGCGCTGATACATGTGCTCGTATAGATAGATGTAATTCCTTTCCTTGTAATGTTGGTCGTTTTATCTTCCAAAGAAAGGAGAGACATGTTAACGGACAAGTTAAAGTGGGCGAGGAAATCCGCTCCTAAGATCGGGGTTCTGACTTGGGCTATCGTGAATACCCAAGGAAAAGATCGCCTAAATCCCAGATTTAGGGTTAACGAGGTTTCGCCATATGTCTGGATTAAAGATCCATTCGCCGCTTGTAACGTATAAATCTGTCTTTCTAGCCACCATATTAGGATTGGCTGTAACACTTCAACTCGATTCTGGTTCACAGCACAACAAACGGCCACAAATGTAACCTTTCGTCGCGGTCAGCCCGGGATAGATCCTGGTTTGATCAATGGAGTGATCTCTTCGACCCTGACCTGCCTTACCCCACGTTGTGATTGTTTTGATTATGAGGAGGCCAAGATCGATTTGTCGCAGGTATCTTCGTGTTGGGCTGGTCCAAGTCGAGCGAAGTCGTATAATAAAATTGGAAAAAAAATAAAATTGGAAATATGTATAAAAAATAATTACTATTTTTATATGAATTCTGCGTACAAGGGTTCGTTAGTTGTGCTCGCATACAGGTGTTTGTCGACCCAACCTGTTCCTAAATCGGATGCAACACTTGGTTAAGCTGGTAAGTTATTTTTGGCTTGCAGAGTTATCAAAATTTGTTTTACTGTTTTGGTAAGTTTGGCTCAATGCTGAAGTCGGAGGTTCTTGTATTTGGCAGGAAGTGTGGAATCTCTCAGCGACCTCCGTCGCTTCCCTTGTCAGCTCACAACACTGACTGTGTCTCACTCTGAACTGTCTGAATGGCTAAAAATTCTCAGTGCAACCTGTAATCAAGGCCCCGGAGATTTTAAAACAATCCCCAATGGAGAGCTTATACACAGAGGCTAATGAAACACCTCCACATCTCCGGATCACTAAACTGGCACTACAGTAACATGTAAAAAAAAAATCATGTCCAACTAGCTCAGCTTACAGCAGTACCTTTGAACCAAATTATTGCGATCTGTTCCAACAAAAAGATAATTCTACAGACTCAGGATGAAATCCATTGTTGAAGAATTAGGCACCACACTCTCAAATATACAAAGAACAATGGCAACCAGTATTCCACCATGGACTATCAAGCAACACGAAGTTCTGATAGATTTACATAATTCCCCCAAAAAAAACAACGCACCCATTCATATTCCAGGACCTATTGGTAAACTTCCCTAACCATATGCCCGTCTATAACAGATGGCTCAAAATGTGAGAAGAGCAGATGTGCAGCAGTGAAACAAAATATTACCCCCCACCCACAAAAAAAGGCGCCTCCCAAAAAGAAAGTCAATTTTCCCTGTAGAGTTTTATGCAATCAAGCTAGCTCTCAACATTATCTCAGCAAAAAAAAAACTCACTTATGAAAATATTATGCAAAATGAGCATTATTATTAACAAGCATAGAGACACCAAACTCGGCTGTATTCCTAGCCATATCAGAGTTAAAGGTAATAAATAATAAAGCAGATCTAGCAGCCAAGTTGGCTTTAGATGTGAATTTGGATACAAGGATCAAAATCCCATGCACAGATTTTAGGTTATTAACAAATACATTTAAAAGAAATGGCAATGGTGCTGGGATGATAACCCACACAATAAACTCTTCACAATTCAGCCTAAACTAAAAGAATGGAAGTCAGTTCCCTGAAAATCTTGCAAGGAAGAAGTGATAACTGGCCCGCATACACATTGGCCATATGAGAATAAACCGCTCGTAATTACTAAACAAAAACCAACCAGTACGCCAAGCATATGAAACAGCATACACTATTAAACATATTAACCGAGTGCTCAGATCTTGCTCTCTTAAGACAAAAATATAATGTATGAGCTGTTCACGAAAGTAGAAGTGGATGATATATTATTTCTCAAAACAGCAGGACTCTACCAAAAATCATGAACCAAATGATAGTGTCAAAATCAATTTCTCTACAAACCATGTATCTGAAAATAATACATCAATGAAACTAAACTCTCAACAACAGCCCTCTTTACAAAAGTATATCAGTGAAACTGGATCTACAGTTTCCTTATAAAGAATATATATTCTATTCATACAAACCTATTTTAAAAAAGCTTATCGGCATTAAATAGCACATTGAAACAAAAAAAAAAAAACAAACCAAACCCATATAAGAGGAATAATATTACATGGTAATTTAGAACTCTTTCATTTCTAACATTTTTATGTTTCTTAATACTTTGTTTAGCTTTTGGAAGGCATCTTTCAATATTCCAAAATGACTTCGGATTTCAATGTCACATTTTTTGTTGCCTGTTAAAGCACTCCCCAGATACTTGAACTTCCGATATCTTTAATTCATAGCTTTCTTCTTGGGCTGTCCGTCGTTACCAACCCCACATTCAGTCTTCTTATAATCATATGGATTGATATTATGTAACAATTCAGCATTCCTTTCTTTGTTTCTAATGATATTTTCCATTTTAATGATGTTTCTTAATACTTTTAGCTTTTGGAAGGCATCTTTTGCTATTCCAAGGCTCCTTCCTATTTCTGTGTCACATTTTCTGTGATCTGTTAAATGACTCCTCAGATGTGAACTTCAGTACTGGCTTCATTCTGATCTCTCCAATTCATAGCTTGTTTTTTGGGCTGTCTGCCTTGCTAATGACTATGAACAACAAAGATACTTGATTAATTATCAGATTAAATTTATTGCTAAGTTTGATCAGCAAAATTTTTCTTTACAGACTGACAACCTAAGTAAAGATCTTTTCATCAGTAGAACCACATCTGCCACACCAAGCCATTCCTCCTTCTGTGAGGAAATTGTCCAGTATTCACTGCCATAAAGGACGACTGACATGTGAAATGTTGGGCACTCAATGTAGTTTAATGGCTAGCAAACTTGTCTTTCTCAATTAATTATGACTGAATAGTGAGTTCAACCCTCACTGGGTACCCCATACTTTCGGCCTTATGCCACATCTAAGCTATGCTTAGAAAATTAGCATATAGGAGGACTGATATTATATAGCAGTCCAACACTCTTTGCTTCTAGCAAATTTTTTCGTATTCTTGATACTTGATTTAGTTTTCCAAAGGCATTTTTCATTATTAAGCACTTTCAGATTTTAACAGTGATTAACGATATTAAACATTAGATAACTTTTAGGAAAATAATTATTTTCCTAAAAGTTATCTAATGTTTAATATCGTTAATTGAAGACACTAGAGCACAAAAGATTAAATTTGGTTAAAATCAGTCCAAAAAGATTAAAGGAAATATAGACAAAAAGGTTTATTCACAATGTATTTTTCTTCAATAAAGCCACCAAAAAGGTGTACATAAAAATAAAATTTCAAAAAAAAAAAAAAAAAAAAAATTTGAGGAAAAAATTATTTTGAGCACAAAAGAAAAAAAAAATATTTTATTGATTTTCTTCGGAATTTTGTTTTTGACTTACTCCCCATGAACACCACACAAAAAAAAAAAAAAAAAAAAAAGCTTTAAACTTTAATTTAAAACAAAAAGAAATGGTTGGAAGTATGAAAAAAAAAATAAATAAATAAATTGAAATAATTTTTCCTGATAAAAAATAGGACATGATTTTAATGTTTTTTTGCTTTCTGTGATTTTTCCTTTAAAAAAAGGAAAATAAAAAATTAGATTGTCCCTTGAATAAACCCTGCCCATGTTCAGCAGGTGTAAAAAGAATGTTCAAGAATTAAGGGAAATCCAGGCAGGTTTTGAAACTTTTTACTCGGAGGCTCACTTTCCAAACTGGGGAGGAGGGGAAAAGAAGCCCACACCCTGTTTGTTGGCAACACGTGAGGGTGCCAGACCAAGCATTTTCTGAATGTTCTGAAAAGAAGAAAAACAAACAAATGTTAACTATTGAGTTAACTTAAAACAATATGCTTTTGTATAATTCCAATTTTAGTTCAATTTATTCCACTTTGATTGCTAGAAAAAAAAAAAAAAAATCAGAAATCTAGTTTGGCTTCAGCGAGAAAAAGAAAGAATAGAGGTGGCGATAACACGTTTAAAGCTTGCTTCAGTAAAATGGAATACCTTGTCAATTTCTAATCTTTTCATTTGTATCCTCTTACTTCTTTAAATAATGACCTACATTCTTACTTAGGTTGGTTATAGTAATATTTTCTTGTTAAGCTCAAATATTTAATAATGCAAAAGGAGAAATTCCATGGGTATTTTATAGTTGTGGAACTTGTAGAGAGCTTATTTTATCATTAACTTAAGAATTATGGCTCATCAGAAAATTCAAATAGCAAGACTGTGAAATTTTCATAGGTATTCTTGTAACAGAGGAATGGCCCTGATTGAGCCATACCAGAGCATAGAAAATGGTTAGGGATTTGAAGGATTGAGTAGTTTGATAATTCTGATGGAAGGAGTAGAGATTATAGGAGGTGAAAAATATGGGAGAGTGGTTAATCAGATTGGAGTTTGATGGAAAAAGTCTGGTTTAAAAATATTCATTTAAGTATATAACATTCTTACAAGGAAGGCTGCAGAAGAGTTTGAATGTTGTTTCTTAATTAGATTAAGTAAGATTCAGCATAACTGACACCCCCAGCCCAATTCCATAACCCCAAGGAAGTTGGCATCACATGACTGATGAGTTTACCAAAAGTCCACAGGATTTTCGATACATTAGGATTTGTTTGTTCAGCAACCTATCTGGCATATTCATGTTGATTTCAATGTAAATTTTGGAAATTTAGAAATCCAGGCCACAATTGAAAAGCTCTTCATGGTATGGCCATCTGGGTGATTTAACAGGTTCTTTGTTTGAGAAGTTAATTAGTCATGTTGATTCTTGGACTGAAGTCTATATAAACAGAGTATGCATATAAACAGAAATCAGAGCTTTCAGTAGAGTTTTAATATATATTATATATAGTTACTAGATTCTCAGAGAATGTGCCTCATGATTGAACACTCAAGAGAAAACTGGCAGTCCTGACCTTCATTGTACATTAAAGAATATCTGCCATAGAATTTATTCACTGCAGAGACGTTAACATTCCCATATTACTTAACAGATGTCTGCCAGTGCTTCAAGTATAGAAAAGAAGTGACTGGGCTGAAACGTCCCCATAGCTGATGTATGATTTTTTTTATATTTCACCTTTAATTAAATTACTGATAATTTTTCAAAAGCATTGTTTCTTCTGTTGCCAATTTTACACCTTTTCCATCAAGACTAACCAAAGAAACAGCACGATAGGAATCTCACTTAGATCCACAAAGCTATGTCATTTTCTAGCGGGTAGACAATGAAAAGAATCCACTAGACAAAATAAATGATTAATTGTGACAAATGCAAGCCACATTCACTGAAGTGTAGCCAAGGTTTGATATTCAAAAACTTAGATGTGTTGTATGTGGTGACCAACACAAGTACAAGTTATTTCTGGGTGTTTACAGCCAGGAGTTGGGTATTATTCCTAGTTTTTATAAATATATAAGCAAACCTTCCTAACAAACACAGATCAAAATAAAACTGATCTACATTTATATGTAAAAAAGACAAACAAAAAAAAATACATATTATAGGCCCTCCTGGTTTTTAGTTGGGTCATTTTAACACATTGGCTACCAAGCCTCATTCCCATTGTTGCCCCAGGGTCCCAACACTATAGCTTAATTAATTTTGGTACAAGCGACTTTGTTATAACATTGTTTTAAATATGAGGCAAAGATATCATATGTAGTATTATTTACCCACAACTCACCAGTGTGTTGTTTGGTACCCAAGTCCATTTTAAAACCCAGAATCCCACACAAATCACCTGTGGGTTGTTGGAAAATTCCCCACTCTCCTTTTCTATATTCAAAAAAAAAAAAAATGTGTTTCTGGTGTACGATGATCTCAAAAGTAATCAAAGCATCCAACTCCCGATAATCCTCATAGAAAAGGAACTGAAAAATGACTCACCGGAGGGTTGTATGGGCCTTGCAGACATACCACCATGACCCTCAAATGGGTCATTTGGGAGCCAACATGTTAAGGCGCTTCACTATGAAGGACTGTTTAGTGAGCCAGTTTGATACTCACTTGGTGCTCAACACTTTTAGCCTTGTGCCAGACTAAGTATTGGTTTGCTATGATAGATGAAAGTTACAGACTTCCAGCCAGTGTTAGAGGTCAGTAAAGCCTGTGTTTTGAACTCAAATTTTCAAAACAGCCACCCCCCCCCCACCATTCCTTACCTAAAAGAGTGAAAGCTACACAATCTTCCTTTTCCCCATCACTCACCCAACAATATCATACTGCTAAACTTAGTAAATATCAATTAACTTCAGGAATTATAGAAACTAGTCCTTCATATAAAGACACATAGTTATAAAGTCATTCTTACTATTAAGACAATTTATAGGAAATTGAATTTTAAAGGTTTTTCTTTTACAAGATTAAATATTGTTTTTTTTTACTCAATGATTCCTAATAATCAAGATTCTGAAAAATGTCTACAAAATGTCGAGGAGAAGGAATAATATTTTCTCTGCTTATAAATTGGCATCTTAAACAAAACACATGAACAGTTTGATCAAGTCGTCATGTGAGATGACAACAATGGTTACATTGATGATGAACAACAAAAGCTACACATTGGTTGAATACTTTTTTGTTGACTTAAACTCATTAAGCATTATATAAAGCAGGGTGTGATGTTTTTTAAAGATATACAATTTCTCTATTCTGATGAACTGATCCTATAAATATTGCACACAGATTCAATCACAGAATTGTTTTTAAAGATAAAAGTCAAGACAAAACAAAGTCAGTATTCATTCTCACCTGTCGGATGGACATGGTACACAGGATGTAGAGGAAAATGAATGAACAATGAGTGTAGTCATCTCCACCCAGATTTCGATGTGAAAGACCCTGCATCAGTGATATGGGGGTGAAGGGTAGTTTGGCTACAACTCGACCATCAAATCTGGAGAAAAAATAATATTCAAATGAGATTACATAAACAAAGTCAAAGACACAAAAATCTGGTCAATTAGAAACAAAAAAAACAAAGCTAAGAATTCAAGCACATGACAACATAAGAAAAAGATTTAATGTCAAGTTTTGTGATAACCAATCAAAAATGAGGATTAATATTATTGCATAATTTATATGTGGCCATGATCACATATGGAGAATATTGTTCAAGCATTTTAAACTTCAACTCAGAAATAGATGTAAGAGACAATTAATCAATCTTTAAAAATTCTATCATAATTGATTTTATCATTGAGAGAAGTGTATTTGTTCATTCCAGTTACTGACCAATATCGAATGAAGCAGTTTATAACAGAATCAATTATTCCTGAGTGTGTTCAATTTATTTAAATTGATTGACTGATTCATTTTTTGCAAGTTATTTAAAACCAGAAAATATTTTTAGAATGCAAGAACATATTGGAGAAAATAATGATTAACTGATACAAGCCTTACTAATTAAACCATAATTTTGGGGTTTGGAAGAAGTGGTGGATTTATACGCTTCCCAAAGGTATTTGCATGTAAATGAATATAACAAACCCAACTGAAATTGGAACTCAGTTCTCCAATTTCCAATTCCCAGCCATTATCCATTACATCCCCATATATCCAATGTTACAGCACCTAGTATTTCCAAAGTTACCCACCTATGTACTGACCAGGCTCGGTTATGCTTAACTTTGGTGATCGTATGAGAACCGGTGTTTTCAACGTGATATAGCCTAATTTAAAAGATTTGGAAAAGTCAAGATGGCGGGGAAGGGTGGGGAGTGACAAATATTCTTTCTGAAATTGTCATTACTTTGTCTAAAACAAATAAAAGTTTAAATATTGGATAACTCGGTCAATTGCCCAATTGACTGCCTTTAAGAAAATGACACTCCTCATACATTGCATCATCATCCTTAAAGTTCACGTTCAGCGATTGTGTTTCACTTTTTCCTCTGTTTAACAACAACACTAACCAGATTTTCATCTACAAAAGTAAATATAAAGTTGAAAGTTGTATATCCACTCAAAAATCTGAAAGAAGTTTGTGTGTGAATATTATATAAACCAGCGACATCAAATAAAGCCAATTTTAGTATTTATTTCTACTAGTATGTGTTTTATATTTTACCCAAATTAACAGTTCTTAAATGAGGCAACTAATTTTAAAATAAAACTACTGTTATTCATTTATAATCTGGTCTTTGAAATCCTTGTAAATGAATAATTGCTTTGTTTGTGAATTTATAATTTATTATTCAAATAAAGCCCTTTTACACTTTCAGAGTGGTAACTACCTTTGCATTTAGAACATAGCTTCAGAGTAAAAGAAAGCAAGCTATGTTGACATTTGAGATAGTACATTTTGAAAATATAACTACAATATGTTAATATATGAAACACCTCAAAAACATTTAACTCAACCAACTGCTTTAATTACAACAATTTCTGATACCATTTTACAGTAGACACGAATCTCTGAAACAAAGAAATGACAGTAGCATAGTAGAGTAAAAGAAAAACAGTTGGCCTGCACAACACTGTGCATCAGTGCAAGTTTTAAGAGACACACATACACATAATTTCTTTAGGAATCATACTTGTAAAATACAAGTTGAACTTGTGAATCATCAGATTTTCTAAGTTGCTATTTATTCTTCATTCCTGTCAGTATGTTATGAATGTCATTCATTTACAGAGATTTGGTGATTTATAATAAAACAACAGATTCCAAGAGTATATATTCATTGTTGGTTGAAAAACACTTGGGGAGAGGAAGCAAATGGGTAAGGTGTGAGTTCCACTTGAAGGGAAATCATTGAAGTTGTCAAATTTATGCCAGAAATATGATGCAAAAGGCAAGAGACTTACATGGAATTGAACATGCTGAGTAAGGCAGTAAAGGCAAAGCCAATAGCAAACATGGATTTCATTTTGACCTATAAAGAAAAAAAAACAGAATCAGAGTATTAAAATTGCTTTACACACACACACATATATATATATATATATATATATATATATATATATATATATATATATATATATATACATACACACATTTCATTAACGACAACAGACAAGGTACTGCGATCAGGCTTTTTATTAATTTTTCTTGTGTTCATACAAGTGTTTTCTTTTCTGGGTACAGAGTGCGTAGAAACTGTTCAAATATCCTGTAATGTAATTCTGAGCACTTTCGGCTATACTTTTAGCCATTATCATGAATGATTTCATTTTTTTTATTTTTAATTGGGTGTATGGATTGTGTACATGTTTCTAGAGTTATAGGTAAGTTTTATTTTCTGAACACAGCACATTATGGTCGTGTTTGTAGTTAATATTATTGAGTGTTCACTTTTTCTTTTTTATTATTATTAAGGCTTCCATTATTTTTAATCTTTGTATTTTCTACTAATAGGTTTCAGTTGGAGTCTGGTAAGTTTGTGTGTGTGTATGTGTGTTTAAATGGGTTCTAATAAAGCTGTGATCAGGTAGGTGTAATATAAGGCATCTGGATAGGCATGTGTGACAGATGTAATTACTTATGAATTCAGTTTGATCAGGAACACAATTCTTTAAAGGGCATTTGAACTCATAAATAATGTTTGTTCATTGTAATTTTGATTTTTGTGTTGTTATTTTACCTAGGAACTTAGTCAAAAAAAAAATTAACTCCCATTCTTAGACATTCTTGTAGAATATAGTAACAACACTTTTACCATCTCATTGAATAAAAAAACCCACTAGCAGGAACTCTTGCCACCTTAACTTTAAGAGTGAATTCCCACTCAGATACAAAATAGCAGTGATTAAAAAAACTTCCTAAAAAGAGCACACAGAATTCACCTTCTCGACTACTCTTCCTTAAAGAACTCAATAATGCAAAACAGACACTAGTTAACAATGGCTTCTTTAACCACCTTATAGACCACCAAATTAGACTATTTCTTTCGAAAGTGAATAACAATGATAGTGAACACAGAGTCAAAAATAACAAATATTTTCTACAAAAATCAAATGCACATCAAGTACAAACAATATGAATCTTCACTGTAGATTTTTAGTTTTAGCCAGACACACACACATATACAGACAACTTCCCTTTATATATGTATAGATAGATGTACTATAAAATAATCACTAAGTACACAAATGCTTATATATACACACAATTACATAACTAGCATTTCTACATATCACTTCCACAATTGAGTTTCATGCAGATAGCAATCATCAGGTGGAAATGTCCACTTGATGATTGCTATCCACATGAAACTCTGTTGTGGAAATGGTATGTAGAAACAAAAAGCTATTTCATTATTTGCTTGCTTATATTTATTGTGTATTTGGGCAGCAAACCCTTTTTTATACAAGTTTCATTAAAAAATGTTTGACAAGTTTTTTATTTAATTTTTTGTGTTCTTATAAGTTTCTTCTTTTCTGGACATAAATTATGTAGAAATTGTTCAAATGTTCTGCACTTTCAGCTATACTTTTAGCCATTATCAAGGATGATTTTATTTTTACTTTTAACTGAATGTATGGATTGTTTTATGCATGTATCAAGAGTTATAGGGAATGTTTTATTTTCCAAACAAGATCAGCACAATGTGGCAGTGTTCATAGTTGATATTATTGAGCGTTTGCTTTTTTTTCTTTTTTATTAATAAATCTTTTTTTTTTTTTTTCACATGTGGATAAGGCTATTATATTTGTAATATTAAAGCATTATTAATAAACTGAATATTTACCATTTTGAAGTTTTATCAACCATTATGGTTATTTCCTACTGAATTTATATTTTTAGAGAATTGTTAAAAAAAAAAAAAAAAAAAAGTTATTCTCTCAAAATAAACACGGTAAATGTAACCAAGACCAAATTTTCTGTTAAAAAGTCCATTGAACGATTTGGGATGCCTACTTACCAAGGACAAATCTCGGCTGTTATTTTTCAATTTCTCTTCTTGACGTTCTAAAAATTATAAAAAAAAACATGTTTTTCATAAATGATCATTAAAGTGATTCTGATTGTCATGTGACTCTTTCCTTCACCTAAAGTCATTGTCGTTTGGGGGGAGACCTCAAAAAAGTTAACAGGTTAAAGTGAAAAATTAAAACAGAAATCAAAATGGTGCAAACTGTAAATAAAGTCTCTTGTCAAATGTTACAACATTCAAAATCTGTCTGTAAAACTTATTCTCTTTTTACGCTATTGTCAGACTATTGTCCTCATCTTTGTTATATTCCCATTTCAGTCGTTGTACGTTCCAGCCTTCTTCAGGTGTTATACATTGGAATTTTGAACCAAACCCTTTATCTCATCCACTGATTAGATTGTTCTAGTTCTACATGCCGTGCCATGCCTTTTCTGACATGGCTCAGTGGATAAAAGCGTTAGTTCAAGTAATCCAGTGATTTGACCTAAAGAATTGTGAGTTGAATACCTGGCCACAGGTGAACAAAAACCTAGAAAATTGAGTTGCAAAAGGGAAATAACTGAAACTGAGACATACAGAAAAGGTATGGCATGTGGAACTCGAAAAATCTAACCCCATGGACTAAATAAAAGGCTCAGTTCAAAATTCCAGCATATATCATCTGAAGATGGCCAGACCGTACAACACCTGAAACATTGTGAATATGACAATAATGATGAGGACAATAGTCTGAACAATGTAGAGTTAAAATACCTCATCTCATCATAGACAGTTATTCTTTTTTATAAAAAAAAGAAAAAATAGAATGAAAAATAAGAAAGTGTTTCTTTAGTCACTAACTCAAGACTAAAGAAAAAAAATTTAGAAAACCTTGTTGAAAAAAAAAAAAAAAAAACATTTTAAATTTTACTTTAGCACTATAAAAAAAAGAAAAATGACTATGCTGGAAAGACTAATTTAAAATATCAATAATAATATCAAATTTATAATTACTCCCATTAAAGAGGAACAGGCAAAATGTCACTTTAATTTTATAATTCAGCTTCTGCCATTACATACATAGTGAAAATGGAATTAGAAGCTGAGGATTCCTGTCATTGCCTTTTATTACAATGAATCTGATTCAATATTTTCAAGAGTCAAATGTTACCATTTTTGGAATAATCTATGCAAAGAAGATTTTCAGAAATTCCAAAGGTCTCATCTTAATTTATACTGACTGACCTGTCACTTAGTCAAGTTACATTCAAATGATACAACTACTACAATCTGAACACGCACTAATAAATGTGTCAGAAGACTTAAACTTTTATGCTTCCTCTAATTAAGAAATGTTCATTTTGTCATCAACTCACCCAATTTTTTCTTTTGACTCCTGTCAGCTCCATCCATGCCAGCTTCTCTTTGTTTTTCCACTAGAAAAAAAATTCAAATGACAAAGTCAGAAACAAAGAAAAACATTGTTGCTGAGGAAAGTGACTCTCATGTAAAAATTAAAATTGAACAGAATAAAAGCAAAGATATGCCTATACTGTGTAGCCATCCAAAAAATTGTCATTTTAATTCTTGTACAATAATTAAATGCTCAAGTTTTGGTTATAATTTTTAATATTTTTAACATGACTCACATGTAATTAGCAGCAAGTATTTGTACCTAGTGTTACAATACCTTTGTTAAAAAAGCTTTGTTAAATTAATAACTTTGTCAGATGAGAACTTGAATTCAACAGCACACTGCTGATCCTCCCTTTAATCATCACTGAATTACAGAGCTTTTTATTCTAATGTACATGTGTTGACTGACCAAAATTATATATACTTCAGCCATTAGAGCAATCAATAGGAAATCAGAAATAAAGCAATAGCCTCCAAGGAGACTTGAACACAGAACCCACACCTCAGCAGCCAGTCTCCCATTGACATCACCTTATGTAATTTATGAAAGGTGAACTCCCAATATAAAAATCAAAATCATTAGAAGCTACTGCGCGTTATTTTCAATTTCATGCTGTTTGTTATGTTGTAATAAAAAAGTATCAGTAAAGAGAGAGAGTACAAATAGAATGAAAATCTTTCATCTAAAAAGATATTTCAGCATTTAAAAAAGAGAAAAAAAATAAACTGACCTATCTTGCCCAATTTACAGGCACAGCAACATGGTCCAGTTTTTAACAGTTCAACATTCTCTTGGATAGAGTTGACATTCAACCTGACTATTCCCTCTTTCAAAACTTATTGCAAAGTTTTGATATAATTTAAAAGGTAAATATCAGTCCAGCAACAGGACTTCCAAGTGTTCTTTCATAATTCCATCTCAAGGGATCAATTGTAGATATCAGAATTGACCTGTTTTATTTAGCTGCTAGTTATAGGCAAACATTCAATCAATTGTAGACATCAGCCTTGACCTGTCTATTTAGCCCCTAATTATAGGCATACATTTATCTCTTTAGATGAACATTTCTTTTTAAATTCCTGATAGTGTTTACCTATAAGTCACAAGGCCAAAAATGATAACCAAAGACATATTGATAATGTAGCCTAAGGGCCCATCTTAGTGTAGATTGGTTGAAAATCAATTATAATATAGCAAAAGAACTGCATTGCATTGTTTTATGATGATGTACTATATTATTAGGACAATGCCTTATACTGATGTTGTTTCTAGCACTGATTAAATTATTAGGACAAGTAAAGCAGAATTTTAAATTCACTATAAGTGAAAGAAATGAAATGTCTAACTAAGAAATGTCTAATTGACAATCTTTGTTGTCAATTAAAAATGAGTTATTTCATTATTCATTTTCAACAGTCAGATATTGTAACTTCAAGCAATTAGTATCAAAAAAGAAAAAAATAAATAGATTTTATTTGTTCCTGGTCAAGTTTCCAAAGTAGAAATAATATAAAAATAAAAAAGGGTGGTGGGATTGTTTTGGTTAATTGCTTTTTCAAAGCACACCAATTAATAATAAAAGAAATTATAATCTGTAACCAAACCACCTTTTCTAAAAGGAAGATTTTTTTTGTTTACACTAATACCTTCCTCTGAGTTCAACAAATATACAAACAGAAACAGGATCTTCCCAATTTTTGTATTAGAAAATAATTTATCGATTGATATTTGCGTTGGTTCGAGTCTTGATTTCTATGTCAATCAGAAAATAATTTAATGCTGCTATATGACATGATTTTCTTGTGAAAATGAAGAGAAAGACAACAAATGATGCCCACAAAAGATTGAATACTTACGTTTCTTGCTTTGCTTTTCTACTTCAGATTTTAACTTTTTATACTTGTCTGTTCGGTACACCATTAACCATGTCAGACCTTTAAAAAGGGAAAGAAAAAACTCGAATAAGGAAAAATACATAGGAAAAATGTATTGGATTTAGTTAATTAAAAATTAGAAACTTCAAAATATTTTGAAATGAATAAAATATATCGTACATAAATAACTCTTCTAAACATTTTTGAAACCTTTATTTTGAAAGATTGAAGCAGGCATTTCAAACTAAAAAGAAAAAAAGTATTATATTTGATTCCAAGTAAAATGCTAAAAGCAAAAAGTCTTTCCTTGCTTGATAAAATTCTCTTTCAATTTTTAATAAATGTGAGAAAAATTTCTCTGTAAAATTCCAAGATGATTCTAAAATAATTCCAGAAAATTTAATCTACAGATTTTACATCAAATGAATTAAGAGTTTCCAAAAGATCCAGCACACCATATTATTTTGATGAGGAGTTGGACCCTTTGAAAAGATTATAATCATTAGTTAGAAAGTGCATTGACAAATGGTAAGCTATGTGATGACCTATTCAGAGGCAATTCTCTCAAGCACAATTGTCTAGTTTTGAAATAGAAGCAAAAGGAACAAAGAAGTGGTGCAACAGTAACAACTTGACTTAGAACCAGACTGTCTACTAGCAGGCATATTTCGAATTGGATCAACAGTGAAGGTTAAACCATTCTTTTAGGTTCAAAACACAGAACTGTTTCAAGATGTCAGATTAGAAGTCCAATCAGAACTGGTCTGGTTATATTAGAGGTTACCTTGATATGGCAGACTTGTTCTACAGAATTCCACTCATGATTAATGACACCAGAAAAATTCAGAGGTCCTCTGAATGTTATCAATCAAAGCCAACCAATCAATATCAGATCCTCATTTTGAAACTTCCACATTATCTTATTAGTTACAACTTTTGACAAATTCATAATAATGTTGGCTATTCTGTGAGTGGTTAATAATTAACATTATAATTTCAATTCCGGCATCTACATATCTACTCAAAGGAGGGGATAAATAGTAACTTTGTGATAGCAGAAGTTTCTAGAGAATCTCTAAGTACTTTTATCAACACCTTACAACAATTAATAAAAGAATTTATGATCCCTAGTTAAGCCTAGGCTAGCACACCTGCACCTCTCATTTCTCTTGGGGGGGTCATTGTGGCCTCATACAAGGTCCTTATTAATAAAAACCCAAATAAAACTGTGGCTTTACTCAGCTGTCATTAGATTTCTTTATCAGATTTTAATATATTTCCCTACGTATTTTAAAATATTTAAACTATTAATCTCATTTTTTATTATTATAGATATTTTTATAGACATGGTGTTTCAGCCAAGTATCTTCTGGCCATCATCAGGTGTCCATTATTTTAGTTGATGTGCGATATCTTGTGTGTTGATTATTGTGTTATTTTATCCCTGCTGAACCAGAGTATATTATTTCACTACCTGATCCAGAGATTGAACTCACAACCACTAAATTACAGCAACACTTGATGAAGTAACATTTATATCCATTATGCCACTATCCTAAAGGTTATCAGTGGTTGTAGTTTTAGAGTCTTCAGATAATTTTCACACTTGACTATTACAATGGCTTTTGCTAAACAAAATTGTTATTTTGATAATTTTGTTCAATCCTGAATCAGGTAGTGAAATAAACACACGAGTTCAGCAGGAACAAAGGAGAAATGGTTTATCGGGAAAAAACAACAAAATAATCAACAGATATATAATGATGGCCAGAGGATACTTGGCTGAAACATTGTGTCTATAATTGTAATAGTGGAACATACCTATTCTATAGTTAATAGACTCTCCCACCTATAATAAGTAGGAGTAGTAGCAGTCGCTCAGGGAGTTGGTAAGTCAGTCGATGTCGGCCAACCGTTAGTCGGATATTAAAATATCAGCCACCACAACTAGATTACTGCATCATTACCTATTATATCAAGTTCCTCACATTTTGTATGTCAGACCTATAATAGGACCGACTTAGAACAAATACAATCCTCCACTGTGAAACCACTCTACAACAATAATAATAATAAAAGACAAGAAAAAGTCAGAGTATAGTGATAATTCCTCATCTTTCCCTTCTCCAAAGCAGAAGTATTCACCTATTAAATTAATCAAAACTTTCATATTTTCATCTTGGTTGTTATAGTCAAGGGCTCTGCTGTTGTACCCTCATGAAAAATTGATATGTGTATATGTCAAGCCTTTAACTCGTAAGATGATGCCAAAAGTATAAGTTTTCTAGCAGAACTGAATAATAATTTTTTTTCTTTGACACTTGCATGATAACAGGGCATTTGTAGTGCCATGTCGTGCATGGGTTGGTATCTTTGCATGTATTTCCAGTGGGCTTTAGTTTCATCCACGTTCTAACTGGTTTGTATAACCATTAACAATTGAGCATGATAATTATTTTGGCTTTTTCTTTTTTTTTCTTCTTCTTCTTCTTAAAACAAAATCCTTTCATGACAGGTAAAATAAAAAGAAATGCCAGAAAACCAGTAAAAAAAAAAAAAAAAAAAAAAAAAAAAAAATATTGCCTACCCACCCCCACAACCTTTCCTTCGCTAATATTCACAGTATCTACCGTTTTCTTGATGCCTCTTCTTTTACTGTTCTCACTCTTTAATGTTTTTCTTTTTCATAATCTTTCACAATCAGTAATCCCTTGATTCTTAGTGGCTTTATTGCCTTTCTTGGGGTAAAAAAAAAAAAAAAAAAAACAAAAAAAACAAATACCATATCCAAAAATTACTGCTATTATTTTTCTAATAAATTTGGGGTAATTTTTTTTTTTTTAAGTGATAAAACTTATTTCACCAAGCTTAAGTTATCTTTAAAGGCAAATGTTAGGAAAAAATAAACTCTTCTAATGTCACCAGAGAGGAAGAGAAGTTAATGTTTGAATAGATTCATTTAGACTAGTGCTATTTTTATCCTGGTTGTAAATAGTCAACACCCCAGTTGTTGTACTCCCTCCACACACACTCCTCCCTCAGCTGCTTGTCATATTCAAAAGAACATTACCAAATATGACAAGCTGAAGGGTAGAATAGCCAAGACATTGTAACTATAATAACCAAGACAAAAATAATACCAGTTCATATAAATCAATGTATAAAAAGAGAAAAGCATTTTAAGTTTGCAGCGTCAAGACTAAGGCTCGAGCATTTAATTCTCCCCCACACTTTAGTAAGAAATCAGTTAAATAATCAAACATTACTTTATATCTTTACAAAAGACCAACGCAAAAATAATATAAATTAAAATGTAATATTCACAGGTCTTATGATACAAACTAGATTATAATAGTTTTATTTTAGATGATTTAAAATAGACATTTTTTTTTTATAAAGGTAAAAGAAAAGACTAACTTTTAAAACTGCTGTACTAAAGTGTGCTGAGGTCACCAAGAGCTGCTATGTAATTTTACCAGAAGCTACAAGTAGTAAAAAAAAAATTAAACAATTTCATTAAACAAATAAAAGAAAAATGTTTTGTTTTTCTGATTATTCTCAAAACATCCCATTTATCTGCTATTTTACAAGCATGTATCAGATGATTAACATGAAAGTAGTTGTGATAGACACTTTAAAAGGGTAGAGATATTTAAGAAGAGGAATTTGAACTCAGTTTTTATAGCAATTCAGAGATTATGTGGTTTCTGTAAAAACAAGCCTATTTTCATAGATTAAAAATAAATAAGGATGAAATTAGGCTGATTATAAAATGGATTGACTTGATTAATGATCTTAAGAAAGATTTTTTTTTTCATGATTAATATCATTATTTGTAATAATATGTCAAATGCACTTTGCAATTAGTTTTATTTGAATGTAGCCTTTTTTTTTAATGGACTTGGCATTAGGAGTTTACAGTTTTTAAATGTTATTGTCTAAATATTGTTAAACTTTCCTAGTTTAACAATATTTATGATTTTCATCAAGATTATAAATCAAATATTTATGGTTAAAAACAGAAAATACAAAAAGTGAACAATAGTTACAAGTCAGGAAACATTCACCCTACACACTACAATTATTTAAAAATCAATACTTGAAAGTCTTTCAGTTAAATATGCATTATGTAAACATACAAGGATGTAATTTAAGCATTTAAAAATTGAAACTTTGAGAAAAAAAGGATTTCTTGCAATATATACCAAATTAAAGAAAATTAAAATTACAAAAATAAATTTTTCAGAGGTATTTCCTAAGATTGTTATGACACAAGGCCACAGTGACAGAGCACCTAATGAGAATCAAACCTTCTAATCACAGGTTTACATTTGTTTTTATAATGCAGCATGCTAAAGGTTAAAATGTTACCTTCAGCCACTAAGTAAAAAAAAAAAATATTTTGACTATCTGCAATTTTACAAAATTGACAATCACAAAATACCCTTTTTAAAATGCATATTTCTATTTTTGATGATGTGTACTTTTTTCCTATTTCTTTTGTTGGATGAAAAAAAAATTTTCCTTAAACAAAATGGCCACTGCCTTTTCCTAATTTTTACCTTGTGTATAATACCTACAGTACCTTACACATAAGGTGTTTTTTCTCTCATATATTGTATGGCTATAGAATATTCCTGCCTTTACAACAGTAGAATATGTTTTAGTTTTCAAACAAATTATTTCTTTTTCATGCTTCTTATTAATTAAAAAAATACATTTTCTATCACTCATGGCAACCAAATCAATCAAAATATATTTTTTTTAAATCAAATTTTGGAGGTTTAAATTTTTTTTAAAAATCTGCAAATATATTTTTAAAAGGTTTTCAAAATTACAGATTTAGAAATTTTGTAATATAGATGATTTTTTTTTTTTTAGCTCTTGATTTCCTTTCAGTATTTCTGATAATTGAACATTATTGAGAGTTTTTACATTTTGTCAGCAAATCAATTGACAATTACTTTTTAAAATGCTTACTTACCTTTTATGTTTTACTCATTTTAAGATCAAATTTATTCTTCGTTATTTCTCAGCATTTTAATTTTAGCTAAAACTTT